GAAGGGTGAGTTAAAAAAAAAGAAGCTACACTGATAACTTTGATTTAGAAGCAGCAATTCTCCATCCCTACCCTTCATCTGGAACTACTTGGACTCTCGTACATTTACTCAGCCCTGTCCTTGCCATCCCCCCGTTTCCATAATATCTGGGCAAACAGTGTCCAAGAGTAAATGTGAGGGCAATGCTTTCATACCATCCTTTACACATTCTAATAACAAGTATTTAATCTTTGAGACCAGAGCAGCAATGTATAATGAGTGAAAAAGTGATATAGCACTTAAGTGATTACTGCAACCTGCAGTTCACTCAGCATGTAGAGATTTCATTATAAAGTCACAAGTGATTGAAAATGTAATATATGTAAGAAGTAATGTGTTGTGTGAACAATTGATAAAGCTGAAAAAAGGACATATTTGGGGCATACAATCTCTTCCTTACATCTAGGATCTTTTCTGGACAATTTAATAACTAATCCCACACACTTTACCTTTACATTATAAACAGCAAGGATACTGCTGACCAAATCCATTTTTGAAGAGAACAAAATGTGAGAAACTACTGCAAGTTAGTAAGCAGGAGGCCTGTTTATCACTGAAAGCAGCATCTCAGAACCAGAAAACTGAAAATATAAGAGCAGGCTTGTATGATGTATAGCCACAGCTTTTTTGACCATGAATAAAAATCCACCATGTCCTGTAATTTCAGGTGAGGGAACACAAGCTAAAGATTATGTACAGCTTTCCATGTTGGTCCTATTCACTCCTCACCTAACCTGACATGGAAACATTCATTTTGATTACAGTATTCCTGACCTACAGCAAGGAAGAAGAGGCACCCTGCCGTTATTTTCCAGATGCAGTGCAATAGCCTGTATTTATCTGAGAGAAAACTTTAAGAGCACTTATTGAAATTCAAATACTTATGAAACTTAAAACTCATTTCCAAAACTTGAATATCATGAAAATCAAATAATAATTTGTTATCCAAATGTATTCTAGATATGCTCAAAGTTGGGAATCTTTTCCCACAAGTTGGAAATATTGAACAATAGAATAATCGAATCTTCCAAAACTGAAATCTGTTACTTGTGTGGTCCTCAGTTTTATTAAATAATTTGGATCATCAAGAAGAATTCTCTCCCCTCTCTGGTAAGAGATTATGGTATTTGAAGAAATGCAATTTCCTCCACTGTTTCTGTTGCTGTGACCTTTATTAATTCCTGATCTTCTAAAAATATCCCAGTAAATTGTGGATTGCTAGGTAGAAACTTGAAATCCAAAACCAGTCAATTTTCTTTCCACATGTTGAAAGAACTGCTATAGATATATGGAGTAATAAAAATACCTTTTAAAAATAGCAACAAAAATATTTTCAGTGCAAGCAAATGTGATGCTGTATGTTTACCTGCTTGCTGGTGTTTTTCTATACTCAAACCCAAAATTTAATCTGGGACAGGCTAAAGAAGGCTTTGAAAAGTCAGTGCTCAAATGTTTTCTAGCATGTTTATGTTTTCTAGGATTTTGCCAGGTTGGACACTCTTCTTGAGTTCATTGACTTGCATCCAGAAATGTCATTAGTAAAACACAGCTTAAGTGGATTCTGTCTAGGCCTGACTGACCACAGAGCCTGAGAACAGGTTGCCTTTGCTTCCTCTGCTACTTTCTTCAGCTAAAACCCCTCTGATATCTCTAAAGACATAGGCATAAAATTTGCCTAAAGTCAGACTGGGGAATATCTATTGATTTTAATAAAGTTTAGACAAGTCAACATCAAAGAGAACCTTCTTCTGTGCTCTCTGAACATTTGAATTTATGTTGTAAACTCCATCGATACTGACAAAATAAATAGCCTCTTAAAGGCTATTATGGATACTTAGATTGAAGAAATACGACAATATTTGTTGGTACAGCTAATCAGTGTTGCAATCCTTCCTAATGTTTTTGGAGTAGTTGCTGCATTGGAGTGTTAATCATGATTTCTCTGATTATCAGCAATTGTTTAAAAAATAAAAACATGAAGCAGACAAGATAAATATTCTTCCTTGGTAATCAGATCAAGGATGAAAGGGAAAATGAGTAATGGTCATCATTCCATTGAGTATTAATATTTGACTTAAATTTTTCAAAAAACTTCTTGAATTATGCTGTTTGTGCTGTCTTTTTCCAAAAACAAAAAAAAAAGAGAAGACCCTTTTAAAATAGTTTAAGTTATTCTTTTGAGCTGTAACACTTATAAATCACTTTTCATCCCCAGAGCCCTGAACCAGAGCACGGACCTTTGTTGACAACACCAGCAAAGGATCTGGTACTGTTCCATGTTTCTGTGATGAGCTAAACACTTCGGAGGACAGGACCTTGTTACTGCCTTTCCCACCAAACACAGCAAGAATTTCAGGTAGCTGGATATCATTGTGCTGCTTTGACACGCAGGCAATCTGGTATAGGAAATTTTAAAAACATGCCCAAGGTAGCATAGGGAGTTGGTAGTAGTGGGACTACACCCCAGGAAATCCTGTTTCTGGTTCCAGGATGGTAGCCCTAGCCATTATCCTTCTCCACACTTAAGTATGTGATTGCTGCAGACAAATCATCATGTTCTTCCACATACCAGTCCTGATGCTACAAAATACTTAATGCATTATTAAGCAAAACATATTCCAAGACTGTCATTGATTCAGGGCCTACAGTCTTGCAAAAATTCTATCATTTATCTTCCTTATAAGTGGAAAAAAATCCTGGACTCTATTTTCTCTCCATAGAAACTACAGAGAAGCCGAAGTAATTAATGAAAAGTACTGGTGTCATGTGGACAAGAACAGGGCACACATTCAGCCCTTTCTTCAGCCCTTCCGACTAATGGGAAATATCCTTCTGCGTGGACCATATGACTGGGTCCAGAGGCTGGATTTAATATATTTGCAGCCCAATCATTTTCCCAAGTGAACTGTCAATTACCAGTGTGAGACAGAAAAGATGCTGATTACCTGGGCCAAACTCTGCTCTTGTTTGTGTCAGAACAATATCCCTGATTGCGCTTGCTTCCATGCGACTGTGGGTTGAGTTTGGCTCTGTCTCCTCAGTTCCCTGGGTTGTCTTTGAACCACAGGAACAGCACTTTGAGACAGCTACTTGGGCAATCGCTAATGGCAGGAAAATCCACAGTTCTTCAGACATTAAGGCATTGTAAATACTGAAAGAAAATAAATCTGTGTTGTGTTTTTTTGGCATACAATGCCTAAAGCCTTATCTCTCATTCTGTCAGGAACCAAGAACTATGTATACAGATGGTGCAATTTATTATGTTCTGTACTGTGACCAAGTGCTGAAATACCTTCAGGAAATCACCAGAAAGCCTGAAAAGCTTTGCTGTCTCTTGTGACTGCAGCTCACTAAAACTATAATTGAATGAGCACAATATATTAAGCCCTGCGTATTACACAGTAGGCTTACAGAAAAGGACGCCATCTTTTTCAGCATCATTACAGAAAATATCTTTGCTGTACAATTACTGCCTATATCCAAGATCATAATGTCTCTGCCTCTCTAAATTCTGCTCTTATAAAACCACAAGATAGGGATTTACAAATAGATGCCTAGGTTCAATGACTCTACCTCAACTCAGGTGTAACACCACTAAATTCCAGGGTGCTGTTCTCATTTGTAAAATGCTGTTGGGCCTGGTAGTCCTGACATTTAAAATAGTGCCTGTTGGGGCTAAAATGAATGGACATGAAATGTAACAGTGTATGAAAAAAGAATTTTAGCTGTGTATCAGTTCAGAGGTTAATGTATTTCCATTCCTACTTCTCTGAGCAGGTTTTTATGAAACTGATGATTAAACTTGGCTCAGTGAGCACAAGAAATACAAAGAAAAACTAAAGTCAATATCCTCAAACTCATTCATCTCTCAATATGAAATTTAAACCTTGGAACTAGTATTTTGTTCGTATCTGTGTGCGTTACTGAATTTGAAACATCGAAAATAAGATCCCTGTGTCATGGACCCAACAACAAATGTTTTATGGTCATCTTGATACGCACAAGGCCCAACTTTCAGCAATAGCCACCATTCACAAAAAAAGCTGTTTTGCTTTTAGTGCTTCAATGGAAGCAAAACCATCTTCATCCTTGATTTCTTACTGTGTCCTTCCTGTGCAGAAGCCAGACTGTGGTGCCTTGATATTGATATTGGGGGGTGGTCTATCCGCTTCCTCTCATGCACTGTTACACATTTACATATGTTTTGTTGGAACATAGAACCACAAATACCATGAAGCGTCTTCCCTGTTACATCCTAGAGACACTGGGCCGACGCAGCCCCGTGTCCCGCCTGCCACAGGACAAACCCTTGCATCACTCACGAGAGAAGGGACGAACACCGACAACCACCAACCCCAAAACCTCCTGGCCGCAGCTGGGGGCTCCTCCAGGGCGGAGGTGCCGGTTCACCCCGCGCTTCCCCTCGGCCCGGCGCCGCTCTCGGCTGCGGGGCGGCTGCGGCGCTTCCCGCACCCGCGGGTCCCCGAGCCGCCCGCCGGGGCTCAGCGGAGGGCAGCTGCCGCCGGGAGGAGCCCGGGCGGGGAGGGAGAGCCGAGGGGAGCCGTGCGCGGAAGGGACTGCCTCGATGGGCTTGAAAAATCACTGCAGCAGCGGCGGCGGGCTGGTGGGAGATGCAGCGCCCGGGCTGCGCGGCCGCGCCGCTCTCCCCGCCTCTCCCCTCCGGCTCCGGCCCTGACCCCGGCCCTGCCTCTTTTTTTCCGAGCCTGGCTCCAAACTTTTCCCGCTCCCCTCCCGTGTGTGCGGGAGCCCCGAGCTCAGCGGTGAGCGCCGGCCGGGAAGCCCCCGGCACGGAGAGGCTGCCGGCGGCGACAGCCGGAGCATCCCAGGGAGGGGAAGCCGGCGGGGCGGGCGGGGAGGGAGGCGGGCAGGGCGGGGGTGGAGGCGCCGCCTTCCCTCCCTCCCCTCCAGAATTAAAGTTGGGACAGTCGCGCTCCGGGGATGGGTGCGAGCCAACGCCTCTGCTGCCGGCTCGCTCTGCTCCCTCCCCAGGTCGCCCGGAGCCCGCGCCCCCGCCCGCCCGCCCAGGAGGGATGCTGCTCCGGCAGCTGCTGGGGCTGCTCCGCCGCTGCTGGCCCTCCCTGCTGCTGCACTGTGCCCTCCACCCGCTCTGGGGGTCCCTCCAGGTAGGGCCGCCCGAGCCCGCTCGCAGCTGCGGGGCGCGGGGCCGGGGCGGGGGAACGCGGGGGCGCGGGCAGAGCCCCTCCGGCACCCCCGGCACTGCGGGGAGGAGGCCGTGGCGGGGCGGTGGTCGCGGAGGCGGCCCCGAAGCCGGGAGCGCTGCTGCTGTGCCCGGCGAGGGCCCCCCTGGCCGGGCGCTGCGGGACGGGCGGCCGGGGCCGCCTCGAGCGCCGAACTCGGTCCGAGCGCGTTCGGTCCCGGCGGGATGGAGTTGACTTTCTTGGGCGGTCAGAGGGCTGGGAAGCGCATTTTGCTGTAGGTGGCGAGATGCACGGAAAGAGGCAGCGGCGGAGTAGAGCCCCGGCGGTCGTGCCTTGCCGTGGGTTTTCGGTATTGATTGCGAATTGAATTGAGGGTTTTCTGGGTAAAGGGCTGAATCAGCTTTTGCCAACTCCGACGCCCTGGTGTTGTGTGACCTTGATTGTAATGTGGGTGGCCAGCAAGAGAGATTGGGAGAAACTGGTATACAGTGAGGGAGAGCGCCCATCCGGTTTGGAGAATCAGGACAGCGGCAAAGCTCATCTCAAATGCGTCACTTCGATATTTTAAAGTTTATTTATAATATAAGTCTTCAGAGAAGTGATTGATGAGCCAGCCAAGTGCCGTTCAAGAACAAACCAATTACAGTTTCTTTCTTGGAAAAACAAAGTGGAGACTCCACATTTTTTACTCCCTGATCTAAACTTAGTGACTCCCAAGAGATTAGAGAGATGTTGTTTGTTTTAGCATCTTGTCTCTTGCCATGAATGACAAAGAGGATTTGTGCTCCTTATGGATTAAAATGAACAGAAATACAACAAAAACAATCTTTAAACCAATGTCCTGTCATTAAAATTTCTGCCAGCGCTACCTTCCTGCTGTCCTCCTCAAGTATTTAGGTAGCTAATCTTAAGTTAAACTATAACTGAATTTCTCAAGGAAGCACCCACAGTTCGGTGAAAAGGTCGCCTCCTGCAACCTCTCCCCATCAGTCAATTGAGCAGAGAAAAAAAACCTTGGATAAACATCTTTCTGGCAAACTACTCACATGATCTAAAACGATTTTTTAAAAACAATTACACTTATAAAAATTGAAATAGGCTCTGAGAAATACAAAAGCCAAGGAGATCACTAGCCTTTCCTTGCAGTAATTTGGAATTTGAATGAATGACCCATTCATCAACTGTACTTGTGCTATTGCTTGCTGTCTTGTGGAAGAACAAACAGTAAACCTGCTCATACTCAAGCTTTTTTCCAGTTTTCCCAAAAGTGGGCTTCCATCAGCAGTTTCTGGTAGGAAGGGGAGGTATGGAATGCTCACTGGCATGCCAGCCTTCCATCCTTCCTGTAACTGAAATTCCTTCATGGTTGAAGCCCTCCCATGATTCCTTTCCCCATGTTGAGTCATAATCCTTGCTCTTATCTTCAGTCTCACGAGCCATGCTCTCCTTGACTAATTCTGTAGTGTTGCATCGTTGCTCCCCTGCCCCTGCTCCATCTATAGCAGCAGGCATGTTTTCTCACATCCCCCAGCCCCTCTTCACGCGTTTGTCCCCACAATGACTTAGTGTGGCATAGCCTTCCCTCCCACCTCGGCATTTCCTCCTTAGGCCCTGCCTTGAGACACTTAAAAGAATCAGTCAGATGCTAATCAAATGAGAAACATTTATCTTACTAAAAACAAAACCAAAACAAAACCCACAATCTTTTCTTATTAGCATGGTAGCTAGTTCTGTGACAAGAGGGAAGGGATGAATCTGTCAGAGGCTTTTGACATAATTTTAAAAAGAGCAGAAAAGATCATGATAAATAGCAGGGACGCATTTTTTCTGGTTTTGTAAACATGGATCTGGATTAACTGATGTGAATTGCACAGAGCTGTCCTGGGATTTATGCAGCAGTGTTGAGATCTCATCTCATCTCTGTAGACTGCTTCCAACAGACAAAGCTCTTGCTACATCAGCAGGCTTTTAGAGGTCTCTGTGCCTTCAGTCAACTGCACTTTTCTGTTAAAGCTTTCCTCCTTTTACCTGATTAAAAAAAGTCACAAGAAGGCCACCCTCCAGGGACTGTATTAATCCTCTTTTCCCATCCTACTCTGTAGAACGTGCTTGCGGACTGCTGCAACCCCATGGGACTCTACTGAAATACTAAATACTTCTGACCACATGCAGATTTATTCTTCCATGGTATGCAAAACAGGACTAGGATCACTGTTTCGAAAAGAAATCTTGTATTAAAGAGAAATATTCCACAGGCACAAACTTCAGAGACAGAGACTGCAAAAGGAAACCACCAGTTACCACTTTCTGTTTGTTCTTCCCTGGACATTTGTGGATCAGATTTTCATTTCCATAAGAATTTTAAAACATTTGTCTTTTTGCAAAACACGTTCACATCAAACACACAAATCCATAAAGTCAACTCTACGTATTTTCAGAGCAGGGAAAAAAATGCATCAGCTTGAAGTCCAGGCAGCTTATGTCTAGACTGGCCAACTGCTCAGTGTGTTAAGAAAGCCTGATGCCAAACAAGCAGCCAAGTTTCAGATAGGCCAAGAAAACGTGTTCATGGCACCTCCAGCACCCAGAGGAATGGCAGGAAGAGCTAGGGAGCAAGCCCTGTGACTGCATCTCCACAGGTGATCCCTTGCCAAAGCAAGTGCCACAAACTGCCTGGCAGCCTGGTGGGCTTCCAGTTGCACCTTACCTGCAAAGGTCTTCCAAAGCCATTCTGGGGCCAAGGAAGAGTCTGCCAGAGCAAATAAGCAGTAAAGTTTGAGGCCAGATTCATTTAGGTGACCTGGCCATAGAAAGGTGTGGCTCTTTCAAAACGCTTTTCTTTTCCTGCCACATGCTGTAAAGGCAGTTTACCTTGAATTGCAGGCAGTAAGAAAGAAACAATGGAGTATTATTTCATCATCTCCTGCCAGAGCAAGATTGTTCCCTAAAGCGTATTTTCTAGTGATTTTTTCTGCTTACCTTTAGAAGACACAAGTAATAGCCTTAATTTCTTTCATAAGAAGACTAATAGACATCAACAGGGGGATTTTTTTTTTCCTTGAAAAGGAGCCAAATGCCTTCCTTTTTTCCCTGATTCTATCTTGCTACTGTTATCTGCTGCTTTATATTACTGTTACTATTTTGTCCTCTTGCTGCAGTCCTTGACTATTTCTCTCCTCCCTGAGGCCCTCAACCTCGATTTGGGTCTTTTCTTTTCTTGGCAGATTTCAACCAACTTAAAATATCTTTGTTTTTAAAACAAAGCCTTTAAGACAAACCCGTCAAGGTAATATTTATATTCCTACTTCTATCTTCTAACAACCACACATTTCATCCAGTGACAGGAGAAGGGAAACAAATAGGTGATAAAGCCCATGCTTTTAAATGTCAGTTCTTTCCCAACTATTTAAAAATTATCATGGGAAATTTTTATAGAGGTTCGGGCTAAAGTATTGAGGAACAAATCAACTTTTATTTTTCCCTTTCCTTTTTTTTTCTCTTAAATAATATTTTTAAGTAGACAGGAGCAGGATCAGCAAGTGACTGGCCATGATAGTGTTAATCTTGTCTGCAAAGTAATTGAGAAAATTATGCACTATTTTCTGGGGACACTCTATTACCAGCCTAAGGGAAGAGAGCCTCCAGGGATTTAAAAGCAGTCAATAGCTTTAAAAAAAGACAGAGCAAGCCTTTGGTTCTGGTTGATATTAAGTTAGAGCAGTAAGTCAATGTAGCTTTGCCATACCAGCACTGTCTTCAAACTTACATATGCAAAGCTGCTTCTGATCTGCAAAGGAAGCTGGCTCCAAGTCTGCTCAATGTTATTCTTCCCTGTGTCCATATTCTCCCATCACACTGCCCCCTGCAAGACTGCAGTGAGCTCTCAGGATTCAATAACTGAGGGCCCAGGCTGGAGCTAGGAGTTGATAGCTGCTTCCTAACCAGCTGCCAACACCACTGGAGAGGTGTTGCCCCACCTTCTTCTGTCAGCATGGTGAATCTTGTCACACCTGTTGAACAAGGAGGTACCCCAGGTGTGCCCCCGACACTGCAGGGGAAGGACACATGTTCTCTCACAGGGCTCTTCTTGGGAGCCTGCCTGGAACCCCAACCCCTCGTGTGAGCAGTGTTGGAAGAGCTGAGGCAGCATGGAGGATATTCTGCTGCCTGGGATCACTTACTTTAAAAACAAATAAACTTTCTTAGCTGACAGATTTATTACCAGTCATGAGGGATTACACAGCCAAGTTGCTTTGATTCATTAGAGTGTTCAGAGAGTTTGTGTAAGTTCCTGGAAGCTGTCTGGGATGATCTTTAACCATCCTCTTACTGTTACCTGATGGTGAAGGGGAAAGTTGGAAAGCACTTGTGCTGAATTTGTTTTTCCCTATGTTTGGTAATAGATTTAGACAAGCTGTTTAAAGAACTGAGCCTTCTGCCTTATGCTGTGCTGAGCTGTCCTTCCAACTTAGCTACACGTAGCCTTTTCTATTCTTTCCTCCCTCCCTATAATATTTAATCAACAAAGCCCTACCTCCAGTTCCCTGAGGCCAGAGTAATGCGTCTTTCTGCATTTAGAAACCTCCTACGCATGTGAACACGTCCTTTGTGCAGTGATGTTGTTTTAATTAGCCACGTCTCTCTTTCTGGCCAGACATATATAAAACAAATGTGTACAGCTTTCCTGCAGGGCAGTGCAGCCCCTTGGTGCTCAGCTGTGGGCAGTGGAAGAGGGACGCCGGCTGTGCTGGGGGCCAGGGTGGAAAGGGGAGAGGAGACAGACTGGGTGCCCAAAGCTGGCAGGGGAAGGGAAGCAAAACTTGGGCAGGAGAGAAAAGTGGGGAGAAGGCAACCCTGGGTGACCCTGCCAGAGAGGCAGAAGAAGCCTGCCTAAAACGGATCAGAAAGCAGGGCATGAGACATCTTCTTTGTAAGGACCAACATGTTGTGGAAAAAAGCTAATTAAAGAGGATGATGTTAGGCCAAAACTATTAGGACAATAACCCTCCTAAGACCAAACTTGACAAGAAAATATGCTAGCATAACTGTCCTTAGCTTCAGCAGGACACAAGTCTGTCCCAGATGGTCTCCTAATGCTTACATTCAAAGTGCTTCTTAGATAACATGCTTATTAATCTTTTTGGCTTTGTTTTGTCTCTTCGAAATTGTATCCTGTATAAGGCATTCAAACAGAGCTGGCTTAGAGACCTCTGAAGTTAACACCTCTCAGAAGCTTCTGCGATGCTCAGCAAATTTCCTTTCCACTGGGGACTGACTCCATTTTGTAGCATTACATTTTACCAAATTTTGCTGAATATTCATTGAATTCCTAGTTATGTAAATATTTCTATGATAAGAAAAATATGCTGTTAATAAATAGTTCTTGTCGTGACTAGATCAAGCTACTGAATATATTGTATACCAGTACTGGCTAAATCATTGCTCATGGCCAAGTGATGCTTTGCTTGGGTTCTGCAATGCCTCATCTTCACTTTTATTATTAGCCAACACTGCATCTCACAGGAGGCTACAATGTGGCATTTCCATTTAAACCATGTTATTGCTGTGGTCCACAGATGATCAAAATTCGGGTAGCTTCCCCACTTGGCGGGAAGTGAAACACCCTGTGAAATGCCCTCTGAACTTCCAAGTGAGGCTGGTAAAGCAGAGGAGGGATGTTCTCTGGCTCTCAGTTCTACCTTAAGGAAAATGAACGTAATCCTGACCCTAACTGTCTTGTAATTTTTATTAGCTCTCTTTGGCTTGCAGCAATGACCCTGTGAATAATGCATGCTGCTAGATGGCTTTCCTAAGGAAAGAAGGCTTATGCAATCGTATTGTCTGCCACTGCCTGCCTTCTCCTCACCCTATAATAACTCAGAAACCAGCTGGCCAATCTCAACCAAATTTGACAGAGGGAAAGAGTTCTTGAAGATATTGTGTTAAATAAAAGAAATATTAAAAATGGGAACCATGTAGGGAAAGGATATCTTAGGAACTTTAGCTCAGTTCTCGCTACAGGTCTGAGGTGCCACTCAGGTACTCAAGGCTAAAAAACACATTCATCAGTTTTCACTGTTCTGCTGCTCATGCAATGACTTGTTTCTTCACAGATCACTCAGGGCGAGCCCCAGAAGTCATGCTCCAAGCCTGTAGCAGAGAAATTTACAGAGAGCTGCCAGGAAATTTGCCAGTGCAGGCCGCCTCCACTGTTACCACCGCCTCCTCCACCTCCGCCGCCCCCGAGGTTGCTAGCAGTGCCGAGTAAGTAGCTGCTGATACCGCTGTGGTGTGCTGAAGGAGGGCAAAGCAACGGGGACACCTGGACAGAAAGCAGAAGGGATGTGGGAAAGGGCACAGCTAGCTCATTTGTCATTTTCCACTTAGCAAATGGAAGAAGAAATGTTCTCAGCAGAGATGGAGATCTGTTTTCTGATCAATGAATAATGCTTGGCTTTTGGAGGAAAGCCAGAGAAATTCCCTCCTTTCATTGTGTTATGTATGATTCCCTGGTTTTAAATGGTTCCCTAATCCCCTAGCCCTGGGGAATGCTTTCCTACAGAGACATAGTGCTGTGCTGCCCCTTTAGTGTCATGCCCCCCTTTTTTGCCAGGTGTGCAGCTTGAAGGTCTGGGTGCTCCAAGGCAAATTAATTCATAAGTAGACAAAAATCCAAACACTCTGTCTAGACCATTCAGTACATTTGACTGTTGTCAAGACACTGGAGCACTACAGTTTACCATAGCAGTGACTCAGGCTCACTGGTTTTAAATTGCTTACAACTGTTACAAAAATAGGAGGCATGTCAGGAGTCAATGGCAAGTGAGCAGTTTTCCTACTAATGCACATGCAGGCTAAGACTCATCTGTTTCTCTTCATACAAATCAGTGCTCCCAAGCCTTACCCAGTGCATCCAAGCTCCTCCTTATTTTCAGCCATACATCCCCATGCCCAGCACACCTGGTGCCTTCAGTTCCTGCTGGCTGGCTCTGCAGCTGCTTTCCACATCAGTATTCCTGTGATCCCTGACATACAGATACATTCTGGAGAGTGATATCTGTCCCCATGGTCACTGTGGGAGAGATCTTCCTGGTTGTACTGCACCCACTGGGTTCAGGGACACAGACTGGGTCCCGGGAGTTTGGTATTCCAGTAACTCTCCTTAATGCTTATACATTTTCATAAATTCATCTCTCCCTATAAGGCTGCCTATTAATTCTTCTCCCTGATTATATAAACTCTCCTGGGAGCAGTGTTGCAAAGTGTATCCAGTATCCTCAGCATTTCCCCCAAGGAAAAATAAATCATTAGGTATCATCATCTGGCTGTTTGTCTTTATCAGCGGCATCTCCAGATGTGCAGAAGACATGAAGAAGGTTTCTGCACAGCTTGTAGTCAGGCAGAGGACAGGCAGAATTTTTCAGTGTCTTTTCTGCCAGGAGCATGCTTTGTACTTGTGCTAGACTGCAGAAAATTAAGGCAAAGGCAGAGAAGAACCAACAGTGAAACACTTGGGAAAGGAAGTACAAAGACAGCTGGGAAAGCAGAGAGGGATAGTTTTTATAGCAGGAAAAACCTCTTTCAATATTCAGGAAAATGTCATGGGCAGTAATATGGAAAATTACCTTGATCTTTGTATCACAGCCAGAAAACAGAGTACTTTGTCGCTCTCTTTTTTTGTGCCTGGGGTACCCTGTTACCCTGAGGGGGATGAGATGTGGCAGAGTGCTGGCACAGGGACCAGCCCTGCTGACCAGCTGTACTGGGAAGGGAGCACCACTGCCAGGCTGCTTCCCCTCCCTCCTGCAGCTGCTCTGAGTGCATGGATTTGTCCCCTGTCAAGTGGGAAGTAAATAATGTCAGAAAAAAAATAAGTCTGTCACACATTGTAGAAAGAAGAATAAGAAATCCAATGGGCCTGTGACTGGGGTAGCCTGATGCTTTCTCAGGCTGGATTGCCAGGTGCTAACACAGTTCTAAAAATGAGCTATATAAATCCAGATGACTAATACTTAAGCAAGTGGCTTCATTTCAAATACAATGAAAAAAAGAGATTACACATTTCTTTCACTGGTACGCTTTAGAGTAGCAATCAAGTGTCTCATCTTGAATGATGCTTTCATTATCATCAGCTGTCTAGGCACTGTGATTTAGTCCATGTGTACAGCAATCCACTTCCTTGGGAGAAACAACAAGCCTTGTGGTTAAATATTGATGTTATAGACACTGCTTTCAAATGGTATTCAGAGGAGAAGGAAGTAAAGAGCCAAAAGCTATTGTGATGTGGTTGATGCTAGATTTGCACTTTGAACTTTCTAAGTGTGAATAAAGTTCAGTACTGGAAAGACATCTGCAAAAAAACAGCAGTGTAGGAGCTGCAGGATTTTTACCTTTACAAGGTACGGTGTCTGTATCACAAGGTACTACATAAAGATCCTGGAATTTCTTTCAGAGCTTTGTGAGCCACAAAAGGCTGCAGTCTGCGAGGCTCTGTCCTTAAAAGCTCTCTCTGCAATGAAACTGAATTTTGCTGGAGATTTAGATCAACTCTAAAGCATCTATTGTGGTTTGGGCTGGGTGATTAAAGCCAATAGATGCAAAAATCCTGTCTCTCCAGTCACTACAGACACTGACAGTTCAGTCTGCTATATGAAGCATCTAGTGCTCTTTGACGTGGCCTCTAGCTGCTGTTGTGGAAAATCAGAGAACCCTCTGATGTGTCCTTTCTATCAGTCCCACCTGATTGTTTTGCAAACCCTACTTGGTTGTATGGGATGGCACTGCATAACTGTTTGTGAGCAGCTGAATCACTCCCTGAAAGGCTTTTATTGTGCTTGAGGACTTTTAGGAACAATCATAGTACACTTAGTGTCTCTTTAGACACTTCAATATTGACAGGTTGATCCAGCAACAAATCTTCAACTCTGCTTCCTGCAGATAGATTTACACAAAATCTGTTAAATGCAGAGAATCCTAGAATTCACGTATAATAGCTGGAAAATACTGTGTTTACTCTGAGGGGAAATAACCTAATTCCCTCTGGAGAAAATGAGTAGAATCACACAGCTTAGCAGGCAGTCTAAAACCACAAGCAGTGTTAGGAGCACCAGCTTTCCCTGGTTTAGGAGACACCTCCCTGTTAGGGTTGGGTATTTACATTAAGAATGTGTGGGGAGTGTTTCAGCACATCCTGAGGAGTCACTGAATAAATGAATGAAACTATATGAATATGGGAAATTAAATAAGAGTGCTTTTGTCCTCCTTCAGGGATGACCCCAGGTCTCCTTTCCCCACATTTCAAACTCCTTCACATGGACCACTTGCATTATGGTGCCCCATCCAACCCCTGATCTTGCCTTCCCTGCCTCTGCTCTGCAGCCAAGTCTGTCATGGCAGCATAACCCTGTGCCTCCTCCTGGGAATCCATCAGCCTTACAGTATCTAAAGGAAAGCTGCCATCAGCCATACTCCTCCCTGTGCATGCTGGGTCTCTCAGTATTGCTGGTTCACCTGTAGCTTTTTCTGCAAAGTGGGACACATGGGTTATTTGAGCTTTGACTTTCCTGAGCTTCATTTCAGATGCAGTTTTCTGTCATCCCATTGGGACACTGCTGTCTGATTTGATACAGATGTGTACCTTACCAAAGGGCTCTGAGGGGAAGGACTCCAGCCCATGTTAGAAGTAACTAGGGTGGTGGGGACTGTGTGATGGTGAGGACTGTCAGGAGCCCGTGGCAGCTCCTCCAGACAGTTTGGTATATCGATGTTTCCGGAGTAACTCCCCTTATGCAAGCAGCAGCCTGCTCTTTAACCCATGCCTAGAAAACTGCTCACTGATGAAGTGAAGGGAAAGCTCATGAGGCTCTAAGGGGCCTAAGGCCAACTAAACTTAAATGCTGACAGCAAAGGAAGAAAGAACTTCCAATGAATTGAGTGTGTTCCCTAGATATGTCTGCAATGACCTGAAGGCAATAGAGATGCTCAGAACCTGGCCTTTAATTAACTGTGTCTTTTTCTCTCCATCTGCTTTCCTCCTTGTCTCTGGATTTCAGCCAAGACTAAGACAAGGTGGATGGAATACTTGTTTAGGCAGCATTTCTAACCCGGCTTCACGGACCCATGAGATTAAACTAGTTCAAGTGATGTTGACCCTTAAAAATCTGAAAAACTGCTGTTGTCAACTCCTAAATACTCTGTGACCATGCAGGTTTCTCCAGGGGCATTGCAAAGAAGAAAGGATTTTGTCTGGAAGTAAAAGCCAGGCTTCAAAACAGTAAAGGGGGAAGGGGTTAGAGCTAGACAGTAGTCAGTATCAGTTTTAACCTGTGTAAGATCTTATGAAAAAAAAATCAGAAGTGACTTCTTTAAAATGGTACAAGGAAGAGAAAGGATTTTCTTGCCTGTTCTCCTCACTTGCTGAGCAACATTTGCTGTGTCTGCTCTACCCTTGGCTAGAGGAGTCCATTGTATTGGGTGAGGAGTCCATGGTTTTGCCATCTGCTCTCTGGACAAAGGAAGTGTTCATTCAAACATTGCTTCAGTCAAAATTTAGAGGAGGAAACTTAAGCTGAGTCTGGATGCATGAACCAGTCTCTGGCAGTTGGATGCTGGCACATAGGTGCACAATGAAGTCTTTACAGCTCCTGACCTTAGTGGAAGTTTGCCCTGAGCTGTCAGCTGAGATCAAGCACAATCATGTCAGTGGAAAGCCAAAGTGAATGACATCACTGCAGAGGGCTGTAATCTCCATGCAGTAATTGTATCATTTTGTTTTTCAGAGTGAAATCTTTATCTCTGGAGACACAGCATCTAATTAACTAATTATTTGGACTGGTGAAAATGCCAAAATAAAAATGACCAACTACGAGAAGGGTGAAACCTTTTGGCAGCTATATAAGTTCAGATGTACAGCCTACTTTCAGAAAGCATGCAAGGTTCTTTCAGTGCAAGTAGGAGAGCTAAGGACACTCATATCTTTTAGGACAGATCATAGATTCATGGAATGGTTCTGGTTAAAAGGGACCATAAAGATCATTTAATTTCACCCACCTGCCATGGGCAGTTATACCTTCCCCTACACCAGGTTCCTCAAAGCCCCATCCAAACTGGCCATGAACACTTCCAGGGACAGGGAATCCAGTTTCTCTGCACAACCTGTTCCAGTGCCTCACCATCCACACAGTAAAGAATTTATTCCCAATATCTAATCTAAATTTATGTTCTTCCAGTTGAAATCCATTACCCCTTGTCCTTAGCCATACATG